GATAAGTTGAGTGACAATCAACTTCAAACACGCAATCCATAGCCAGAAAGCTATATTGCAGAAAAAGACGCCCATGTACGGAGGACTCCCAAAACGTGTGATGCATAATCTTAATTGATGGTATAAACGCCAATTCTCGTCACGCTCCGGCCCAGAGATATTTGTTCGGAAACTAATTCTGCCTAGTCTGGACAAACAGGGTAGAAACGGTACCCGTTCCGGTAGTATTCAAGCAGTGATCTTTCTAATTGTCGAAAAACAAAGGAACATGTAAATGTGATCATTGTATATTTTACAATCAGTTCTGTAAAACAGAAAAAAGAAAAGCCGTGGCGGCGGCGGCCGAGGCGCAGNNNAGTGTGTGGTGGAGAACGAGATAAAATTATTTTCTTTTTTCTTCTGATTGAAACTGAATTCATTGCAGCCAAATGCTGGAAAGAATGAGTCCAGATACAGACAGTTTAAAAAAAAATTAAAGAAAAAATAATCCATAGGAATCGAAATAAAATAAGTGAATCTGGCGAGAGGTGATGGTTCTCTTTTTTTATCCCAATTTAATTTTCTTTCCTCAGCAAGAGAGAGAGAGAACGCCTATAGTCTAAGTATCATCTACAATAGATTGATCCGACTCCAGACTGCCTGCAAGCAAAGCGGGTGGTACCGGACTGCGTCGAACCAGATTGAACAGAAGGAACTGAGAGCACAATATCGAGATGGTTTGGATCAGTAGACGATTCGAAGCGATCACACGATCCCAACCGTGAAACCAACCCTCCGGGAGGGTACATTCGTCCGGATCGGGCAGTGCGTATGTGCCCCGGGTAAGGGATTCCAGTTGGGCTAACGGACAGACGGAACTGTGCACATTCGATCGTTCAATTCGGATCAGATGAGAATCACACTGGACTGGCCACAATACGATTGGCCGATTGGATTTCTCGTCCAGTGGCCATGAATAGTTTCGATAGACTATGCGAACGTAGAATGGATCCGAGGTGCACAAACGTGAATTTTGTCCGGTGGCGAGCTCGTGTAACTCGAAAATAATGGCACTAGCTAACGGTGGTTTACGACTAGAAGAACAGAAGAAAATAAAAATGATACTTTTGGGTAAAAGAAATACAGTTGTACAACAGCCCTGAAATAAACAGAATAGCAATATGATGCAACAAGCAATATACTAACCGAATCATGCTTAACACCGTGAAAATGGAAATGTCGTAGTCCATTGGATAAAGTTATAAAATGATATACAATTTCACAGATCCTCATTGACCGGGTTTTATGTTTTACGATAAGTGGCATATGAATGATTCGAGAAAATTTCCCTGAAAGTGCACAACTGGTTTCGCGATTCTTGACGCTCACCAGGCTAGGATATCCGCTAAACGTTTGTCACTTCATAAACTTGTTACCAAGGAAATGGATTTTCGTCACAATAACGTCATTTGCAAAAACGGGTAAATTTGTTTGGAAGGCTCTTTTGGAACTAATTCATGGCTTATACGCACAAGATTTGCCTTCAACGGTTATTATACAGTAAACGACAAGCGTCAAAAGCTCAAAGCGCCATTATGTCCAAGGTTTCAAGCCGCACAGCTTCCACTGATACCGTATACCCAAGGACTTCGTTTGGACAATCGAAAATAGGACCAGCCGCACAATTATGCGTCACATGTCGTCTACTGGTTCACCTTAAATTGCGGTTGGTACATTCAATGATTCAACAGTCTCATGGGTCAATCTGATAAGAGACATCCCGGGTCTTTAGTCGCAAAACATCCGATCACAACTGAACACATCGTCGATCCCCATTTGTCATTCAATCCCAGGTTGTTGGCGTTTAACGAGGCGATGCTAATCAAGTTACGTGATCCAATCTTGTGCGTAAAAAAAGTTGCTCACAGAACCAGTCAAACTGTCGTGTAACTGCCCCTCACTCGGCATCCTTGACTATTAAGTGTTGAACCACCGGAATTATCAATACTTTCTTGCACGAATACCAAATTGTTTTATGTTGTAGCGACTGAGGAACTTAAAAAAAATATTAACATCTCGGAGCATTTGTCCTCTCCCTCTTTGTTATCAGGACAAAATGTGAGGTAGTTCAGAAGTTACTGTTCAACCTAAGAAAAAATTTAGTGTAATGCGGCACAAACATTCATATTCTCTTGGTCTCACTCAAGGATAAATCCCAGTCTCCTGAATAGCATCTCAATTGTACATCTTTAACAAAATAAATATACAGATAAATGATAATTTGTTACCGGAATTATATCTTAAAATTATGCGGCTACAAACTGCTCTCGTAAACATTCTTGTCATGCTGAGATTAAAAATACCATAGTCCAAGAAACGCGGAAATTGACCTTCAAAAGTTGACCTTGAGGTGTGTGGCTCATTGAAGGAGCTTGTTTTCATGTCACTATGCCCCAAACTGAATGACACATTCAAGAATTCTCCGTACAAAAGTGATACGTATAGGCAACGTCATGGAGAGACCCATTAGCCCGACATCTCAGTCCCTGATTTGCTCAATTGCATTGATGTGAAAAAGAAGAACCAGTGATCGAATAATCAAATCAACTAGTCCAGCGAGACAGTCTAGCGGACAGGAGAAAAGCAACAACATCAAAGCTGTAATGAACCAATATCCCAACTTATTCGGGTTGATCAACTATAACTTTCATATGCCACGGTTCGAAAAGTGTGGCTAAATTTGAATTGTAGTCGATCCAACATGGCTGCTGCGAGGGTACACGACACGAGGGAGATCGAGGTCTTTGACCATTGGTGGTTATGTCGCATCTCGAAAGTAAATAGGAGAGATTGGGTTTCCAGTGATGAAGTTTAACGGCGTTGCTCGAACACTGAAAAGCTTCAACAATTACTGCAAGGTCGGCCCCTTTGGTAGTTCAACTACTGACCCCGAAGACGTGAACTAATACGATCAAGGCAGATATCAAAAGACTAGGCCTCAAATTCGTATATGGAACACATAACTGTTCCGAGAACTGGGTGTCACACTGCACTAATCTTGGCGGCGCACATTACCGACGAGCACCCCATTGTGGTTTCCTTATTTTAGGTGATTCTGAGAACGCCTACTTTAAAAAGAATTATAATATTTTCCCCAATATTTTTAGAATAAACATTAATTTTGTTATATTTATTTGGAAAAGTGTATTTTCGCATCTTTTGTTTTAGTTGGTGACTTGAGACCAGGTCGGACTGAAACCTGAGGAAACGCTACTTTCAGAAAGTTGAAAATCAATCAGCCGGGGTCATGTTACCTATTATTCAACAATCGGTGCACCCTGCAACAACAGTTTACAGCTATCAATGAGCTGTTCCCTGTATTTAATGGAATATGTGCACGTATCAGTCACACGGACGGTTTTTTAAATCCAGCAGCAGGTATTCATAGAAATAATGTGGAATCTTTTAGGAGTCGTATTAACTGGCGCTTGAAAAACGGTGCAGGATCTGTTGGTGATGTGATTTGGGAACGTTTACATGAAATGCAATATGAAATGTAGTTTGACTTCTATTTAAACATTGACTAATTATATTGATATTTATTTACAACACATTTCACTATTGTAACCACGTTAGAACTTTTTCGGTATTTTGTATCTTAATTATACGATTTTTTAAATAAAAAATGTATTTGAAAAAAAGACCATATTGCAATACTGCACGATTTATGTCCAGGACGATTTCGCTGCATCTCAACATGGTGCATACTGCAGAATGCATTTGATGTTTGTGGTGAATAAAAACTACTTACTACTTATAGGTAGTAGGTTTATAATTACGAAAATTCAGGCTCATGGAGGTGCACGTCGGTTACCTGAGCGGTCTTGCCGACGCGCAGATTACTGTCATCTGAGATCTCCAAGGGGCAGACCTATCCTCACACAGGAGTGAATCGCTCAAAAGTAAGTACAGTAAGTTATAAAGATATATAAGATATAAGATGTAAAGATACATAACATATAAAGAAATAAAGCACACGGATTCGGGTCACACTACAGGTGCATTCGCGACGTCCAAGGCGAATCGATTCCGGATTGGATAACTAGGACGAATGAGACAGCTGTCGTCCGATCGACCAATCGGAGTGTCAAGGATGCGATCTGGTTGGTGCGTCACCGTCATTCTCGTGCGCCTAATTTACCACTTATATTTGTGTATCGCGCCATGATCAATACAATACACTCTGTGGTTCTACCGTCGTGTTCGCTCTTAGCATCATTGTTGGGGACTAGGCATGAGGCGCTTGTGAGGATCTTATGTCCAACTCAGAACATAACAGCACGACACGTATTGATTTTTAATAAAATCGAAGATCAAATCAGCCGTCACTTCAGCTTTCGGTCGATCTCCATGACGAATACCTATCGGGTGGTTGCGGAACGACATATTAGGTGGAGAAAGATGATCCGTTGATCCAGTTTTTTTCAAATAAATTCATTTCACAAATGATTTGGGTAGAAATCAAGTAGAGTAGAGCACCTTGCGATTGGGTTCCTGTAGACGGAACCCTAGATGATGTGCTCTTTGTTGCACTGATCAACACATTCGAAAAAGGTCAGATTTTTCCCAGGTAACGCCCTTCGTCCGGTCTCACGCAGGGCTTGTCACAAACTTTATATTGTGTTTATTTATAAACCGTGGGGCGATGTGAAAACCGCAAGTCATTGGGGACCAGTGTCCAGTTCATCTGATTATACGCCCTTTGAACGGAGTCAAACGTACAAAGGTGTCCAATACACCTCGATACCCGATCGATTTGATCACTTCCGTGAATGGGTATATGTCTAGTTCGTGAGCCTAGCCTTGTTTGGTTTGTTATTAGGTTTTTTCGGCCTACTCCTCTAGATGAACAACCCGTGGTTCACCGACCCGAATGTTCGCTTTTCGTCCTCTCAATTTTGTGTGAGCAAACACTTCCGACCCCAACAAGAAGGTAGTGAACAGGGCTTTCAAAGCAGAGGCTGTTTGAAACGCT